CTTTCTCGCGTGTAGCCGGTTTTAGATATATTGATATATGCAAAAACAAACAATTGTGTGAAATGCAGATATTAAAGATGCAATTTCATCACATATTTCAAACAATTGTAATAAATGAATGCCGTTCTTCGAAGTAATCTGACATAATAATAAATGAAACACTGCCGCATTAATTGAGATCTAAAATATGTGATAAATGAAGGATGAGAGAGTTGGAAGTTTTGAACAAAATGATAGAATTGGAGAGGTTTTGAACAAATGACTTCTATGGAACGGTTGTCTGATGCCATAGTAGATAAGCCAATAATTGTAGAGGAATGACATCATGTTAGTTTCATGGTGCTGACATGATCTACGACCAAGTTCTATCAAATATGAGTGAGCCTACCTGATTTTGCCAAATTCTACAACTTCAAAGGAGACAGCTAAGGTGCAGTTTTTCCCAATGGTCCACTGACTGACACAATGCACAAGTAACAGCAAATTCTTGAAGTTTTTGTTAGGTATCCTAGTTAACTATGAATTATTGTTACTACCCAAACACTTCATTTCATGTCTGCCCAAGCTGAAACATATTTCAAAACCCTGCAGAGATCTATCCAAGACAAAAGCATGTGTGCAGCATATAAATTTGACTTTTATCAGCGGATATGGTCGACCATTACAAATTCCATTGTGAAGAGGCAACCTAGCTAGCCAATATGTCATGTCATTATCTTTCTTTGTGTCTTGCATGGCGTATTCTCATTGGAAGGTCATCTTCTATATGGTGGCACAATGATGGTATCTGCCTGTCGTCAAAGCTGCCTCCAACTCAACTTTCTCCTTGCTTGCGTCCAATTTGATAAGCTCTGAAATTGCGTGGAATTTTTCAAATAAATTTATTTGAACGATTGTTTTATGAAATTAATTACAAATTTTATTTTAACGATTCAAATATTTTTATTCATAGATTATTCTTGTAAAAAATTAGAAAAATTGAAAAATACTAATATATTTTGTTGTGACTAATAAAATCGATGAATACGATCTTTTAAAATGATGCTAAAATGACAATCCCTTAATTGAGAGGTCAAGTAATTTTAAATTCAAATGATTTTTTTTTACATAAGTAATCTTTAAATAAATATATAAAAAGAGACAATTTAGATAATTGAAATACAACACGAGAGATCTTTCAATTAAATATAGAACTTCATAATTCTGAAATTCGAAGTTTTTGTACACGCGCGCAAAATGCCAAGTCTAAAAAGCTCGTTGAGCACTGCACGTATTAAACAAGGACACAAATTTTGGTCAACATAAAAGTTCAATCACAATACGAAACCCACATGTTGTGTGTGATTAGTTGTTGCGCGATAGGGTGATGACTTGGTTCCACCTAATTGGCTCTAGCTAGCTAAGCTATAGTAGTCAATTTACAAATCAAACTTTTGTGGATAGCTAGAATCCCACCAAGATTTCCTTTAAAGATGGGATAGAGAGATGAAAAGCAATTCCATTCCAAACTTCCAAACAAATTCTTGGTGGGAGATTTGGAGTTGTTATTAGGCAGATTTGAAGGGGTCCATTATTTCTTTCCACTAACTTGTTCATTTTCATATTAATTATCTTGTATAGGTCTATCCATAATCCTGACCAAAGAAAAGGTCTATCCATATCCAATTGGGAGGTTATTGTTCTATGCCTCCTTCCTAGGAAACTGCTTCTATTTTTGACCTACGGATTGAACAAAGCAACAACTTCTACTTTGTTTCTTTCTGTAATTTTTCAAGTGGGCACCAATCATCTCAATTTAGCATATTATCCACTTTCTCTTGTGGTTGATTGAAATTTTTTTTTTTGAGGGTTGATGATTGGCCTAAAATTAAGGTGTTGATGTGACAAAGGAGCATGGAAAAAATGTTTAAGACTTTATTTTCTAATTTCCCATCTTGTGTTCTTGAAAGGCCATTCCATCAACAAGGTCATTGCCTTCCATTGCCACTCAATACCAAATTAAGCAGCAGTGGAAAGGAGTAGGAAGAGGTTTTTGCCCTTTGTATTAATATCTTCTCAATGCTCAGTTTTTGGGGCTAATTAATTAGTGACCAAATTTATATGGATGAAAGGGCTTACTTGGTTTTTTCTTTTTGACAAACGAAAGGGAGAATGCATTCATAAATCACGCCAAAGAGGCTTACGTGGTTGAGTGAATTAATTTATTATATATATAAAGGTAATTTATGAGAAATTTCATCTTATTTATTATTGCCTTCATTTGATTAAATATCCATTAGTATAAAGTTGTGGTAAACTCTGGGTCAATTACACCAACCCATCATCAAATATATGGAACAATCAAAGGGGAAGATGCCAAGCAGCCAATCAAAGTGTTCATATGGATTGGACTATTTCTACATAAAGTTTACCTTTTCTTCTCAATTTACATAGACTTGCGTAAATTCTAATCCTATCTTTGTTGAGTTTGATTGAGCAATGCACTAATTTTTCTAGGAAGCTGACCTAGCGATTTAACTATATATTCTATTCTTTTACCAAGAATATCAATATGAACTTTGACATAATTGCCAAATAATGACACCAAGTCGGCAGTCTATATTTCTTAGGGTTTGATTTGAAATATGTGGCTACATAATGACCAACTGTAGGTTTTGTTACAAGAATAAATAGTATTTATCTTCCCGTTGGTTGTCTCTGGCAAGTTAGGTACTCTGCAGGCCACTAATAAAAGTCAATTACTTTGAAAAGTTTTATTTTACACAAGCGGGATCAGTTATTTTCTCACACATACTATTAAAGTGTCATGAAAATTCAAACATGAGAGCACTCGTTGGTCTCAGATTTGCAATGGGGAAAATTACTTCAAGTTTGCAATGGATAATACAGTAGTGCACTAAACAAATGGAAGAAAAAGAGATTTTACCCCTTAAACCCTAATTCAAGTCTTGCCAATTTAATTTATTAATTTTGAGTTTTCAACCATCGTGATTGCAGTTAAAGCAATTAGTTTTGGATGGGTGAAAAGTGGTTGATGTTTTATGAAGCCTTGCAATGCACACAAAGAAAGAGTCCCAAAAGAGCAATTAACATGAGTGTTCTTTTTTGTTTTTGGGAAAATAATATAGAACTTTTATACACGTTTTCACAATTCCTTGTGTTAGGTCATGACATTTTCAATTTTTTTGGACATACTAAATTGCATAAAACGACATTTTACAACTTGCAATTTATCTTCTCTAAGCATAAATGTTTTCTTCTTTCTTACCAGTCACAGCATTTATAACTTGAACCCTAACTTTCTTGGAAACCCTAGTTTGGCGAAGGCGATATAAGGGGACACAGTTGGGTTTTGTACTCTATATCCAGGAGGGCCAGGACCAATTGCCTTAAACATGAAAGCTACCACCTAGTGAGGCCCATAGGCTCAAATCATGATGTAGTTAGTATGTTGACTTCACCATTTACCTAACAATGTGTCTCAGCCTTATCCATTATGCACTCCTTTATATTTTGTTCTTTTATTCACATAAACTTCAATGCAATTTCCAAATTTATTCTCAATTATTAATGGCAAAAAAGTAATTTGAAGTTGCCAACTGGGTCTATAATAAACGTGTCAAGAATGCTAAACCCAAACCTGACCTATTTAATAAACTTTTCGATTTCGGAAATTTAGATCGTGTTAAACATGATAAAAATGTAGAGAGAAAAAAGTGATAACAATTAGTAAATTTTTTGGGGGGTAAAAAAGTCGTGGCAACTAGTAACTATCAAGCTAAAAATGTAGACAAAAAAAAGTTTCTTATGTTTTTTTTTTTTTTTTTTTTCAGAATTATGAACGAATAAAAAGAAAGAATAACTTGAATGGCACATACGAGAATCATTTGCATACTGGAGTATTCGGCAATAAGTAAAAACAAATACAAAAAGAATACAAAAAACCAACGAAGATTCACATCTCAAATTTACAAGGTCATTAAAAAACGAATAAAAAATCTGAATTTTGATAATTTAATCAAGTAATTGCAGTTTGCAAATTTTTTATTATATTAAAATAGCGATTACATTTTGTCTCTATGTATGTATGAAAATTGAGAAAGATAAATAATAAAAAATAAAAAAAATGAGAAAAATGAAGAAAATGAAGAAGAAACAAAGAAACAGGTTGGTGGGTTGGTGAGTATTACAAGGGTTGACACAATCCATGACATGACCCTTTTAATAAACGGATTACATAGGTATTTTAGTGGGTTGACTTGAAACTCACCCGTTTATTAAATTGGTCATGGCAGGTTGACTCGAAAATGAGCCTAAAATTTTAATCGTTTGGGTTGCCCCTCTAATTTTCAATGTAGGTTTCGAGTCGTGTATCAGGTTGTATCGGAAATGACTCGAAAATTTAATCGTGCCAATTGAAAAGGGCTTTGACTTGCAGACTAATGATTTCAGGTTTGATGCCCCGTGACACCATGATTGTGTGTGTGCAAGAAACCCTCTACCCTGTAGTTTAGAGAATCGCTTGTACTTAAAAAACAAGTAATTTGAAGTTTTAAAGTGTTAAATAAAATTGAAGGTATATCTGGAAATTGCATTGGTAAAATGAAAATATAAGAATATTTTTCGTGAGGCTGACTTGGTTTTGCAAATTTGATCGTTGAAGGAGATTCTCAGATTCTAATTCGTTTTCTCCAACAAGATCATAGCTTGGAACATCATTTTCTCTTTCAGGATATCAAACATCTTCTTCAAGAGGCTCAAGTTCAACAAGTCCGGCACATATTTAGCTAATTTTGCAGTAGATGTTATAGCCATTCTCAAACTCAGCCTTACATTTGGTTATCCCTTTGCTATGGCTTGTATATTTATGTACGATATTCGGAATTTAGTAATTCAGCGAGAATTCTCTCAATAATTTTATAATCTGAACCAAAAAAAAAAAAAAAAAAAACTTGTTCATGCTAAAAGAAATAAAAATAAAACTACTTAAAGTTACCATTGCATGTGTCCTCTCAAATGTTACTTCTGACCTAGACATATTTATCCAGTTGGCCAGTGCAGTTTGCCCTTGCACCAAAGTTGTTCGAATTGTCCTCCCGTAGATTACAGTAGTTTAGAATGAAGGAAAAGAAAATAAGTCCAATACACTTTATCCTAGCATTTTACACACCCAGTACCTTTCTCATATCTAACCCTGGTCTGCTCCACAGAAAAGGGAATTGAGAAGCATCCAGCAATGCTTCCCAGCTTCTACTTTAAAGATGGACTCGATCACTATTACAATGTTATATCTTCACATTTTGATTTCATAAAATGCATAAAACCAACCATAACAACAATCTCCACTATTTCAATATAAAAATTTTGAATTCTTCTACACCAATGTAGCTCAAGTGAAAAGAATGCCGCAGTGAATTAGAAACCGATTAGTAGCACAGAGCCTGTGGTGCAATTACAACATATATGGTACATAAATATATTACAATATGCAACCCTTATTTAAAAGATCAAATGATACAAGAATGAATCTGCAATTCTTCAACCATCACTCAAATGATCACTGTGGCATGAAGATGTTGACAATAGCATTCCAGTAGCCAACCAACTGAAGAGAAAAGATTTCAATCAAATCACACAATAGATGATGTCCGGTGAGCAGGCAGAGCCTAAGTTATCAACCAATGAACTGGTGTGTGCGTGTGAAATCACAATGTAGATGTGCACAGAAAAGCCAGTAAAGTAGCTTAACCTGGTCCAGAATGCTTTTTCCAGTTTGAGCTTCAATAACCAAGCCTGCAGTAAGACCAATCATTGCCCATGCACCATTAATTGCTTCTATTTGACGTTTTCTCTGTAATCACAACATTACTTTTAGGGAAAAAAAAAAGAATAACTTCTATGTATGATGGGTAATAAGTAAGATTGAACTGTGACATCAACTGACCCCAGTTATCTTGCATTTTGTGATATAAAAGGAAAATAAACAAGAACGAAAACAAAGATTGGGGCCTCATCAAGGAACCAACTTTTTATTTATTTTTTTGTCGAAAAGGAACCAACTCTTGTTTTAAAAGAAATCAATATTACCTAGGCTAGAGAAGACTGAAATATTTACATAGATACATGAAGAATATGGGTAAGAAATTCAATTCAGAGCTGTTTTAATATTAGTTCCAATCAAAGTAAAAGCAGCAATTTGTCAACTAATAACTGAGGATACTGAAGTTTGTCGGACAAGTCATTTTCATACTCGTTATCTTAACAAAGCATGCAATTCTTTAACCTTGTACTTCTCTTTTGCTTTGATTTCTTCCATTTGCTTGGCAGCCAACCGCTTGGCTTCCAAAGGATCAACCATGATCACTTCATTACTTGAGTCTCTTTTCTTTGAAGAGACCTGTAGCAAAACAAAACACAAATCATGCATCAGAAAACGACAAAAAAAAGCATAAATTTCCTTTTTCTTACGTTAATTACGAATAGAAAGAAGAAATGTAACACAAAAAACCAATTTTTCCCCACTTAGCTTCAATTGGATCATGTGGTAAGGTCAACCATTGACAAAAAAAGAAAACGATAAGGTTGTCAACTGCACATCAAATGAAAATTGAAAGATGCAACTTGATTGACTTCTAAATGACTTTGGATGTGAATTTTGCTTAAGATTCTGAAAATACTAAGCTATTATATAGTAAGGCATAGACAGACTGTATCAACTCAACATCCTTATTTGCAGCTTGAGCCACTAAAACAGAAATTGATTACTTATATTCAGGAGATGAATTACCAATTGTATTGAACAAGAATGAACATCCTTGTTGGAACCTGCTCAACTTTTAAGGAGGTATAGCAAGCACATTGTGTATTCCTGATGAATGAACGAAGAATTGGTGAAATGCAGTACTTTGGTTATCTTGATGATTGCACTTTAATTTAATTTCTAGAGATTACTTTTTGAACAAATTAGAACACTCAAAGGAGAAGAGGAATTTAAGTATCTGCATCAGGCAGCAGTACAACTGTGAAAGATGGAATTGCACGTAAAGTCTTAAACCCCAACCCAAATGCAATCAATATTACCTTCTGAGCAAATATTTTCCTACTAGGGCTTCTGTCTGCACTACTTGATATGAAAGTTTGACAAACTGATGGCTTCATGCATAATTAAGTAACCAAGCAATTAACTATGAAGCATCTATATCTAGAATCTAGACATCCTGCTATCTCAACACTCATTGATTAAACCACCAACTACATACCTAAATAATCTTTGACCATATTCAAACCAAATATATTGGTGTTATACATGTGGAATCCTTGAGTTGATGCATACATTAGGATTGGCCAAAATTTGAAGAGCATGGCCATTGGTTCTGTAAGCAACTACATTTCCACCTTGTTGTCTTTTCCATCCCCACCTGTAAAAAATAAAATAAAATAAATAAAATTCTAAAATATTGTAAGTGAGAAACAAGCTAAGAAATTTAGCCTTAAAATCCTCAATCATATAAGAACCATCAGTGAACCGATAACTACACTAACTGAGAGTTCTAGGACAGATGGGCATCCAGTGATGGAGAAGACCATCTTATACTCTATCCAATTTGTGTTCATATTTACATTCTTCACTGGGGATCCATGTATCACTACAGAATATTGTGCTCGTCCCAAGCCACATCAAGTGAAGTCAAAAGTCATTAACTGCATAATGCACAGAAATTTCTTTACTTTTCTTTGACA